CCCCCCCCCCCCCATATTTGAAAGTTTTAGTACATCTTGCTTAGGTCCATGATTGAGAACAAATACACAAACTTGTACAGAATTTATCACTCGCACCATTCCCCAGCCAGGAATACTTAGGGACGCACTTTTTGCCGGTATCTCGCTCTGTAGGCAATTTTCAACGTACCTATTTCGCAGTGCTTTCCCATAAAGACTGTGGAGCATATGCACTCATAGTCGTCATCTCTGTACTTGGCTGTACAAGTTGCACCGTTCATACAAGGATTGCTGGAGCAAGGACTCTGTTGATGGAACGTTGACATGCTGTGGTATCGTAGGAACAGCTTAGCATCGATATCATTTCGCTGACGCTTAACATCCATGTATAATAAATGCACCTCTTCCAAGGTATAGTTTGTTAGTTATTGGCGGGGTTAAGTAAACTGATCAAAGAGTTAGATTTTTTTTGTGCTTCTTCAGTTCAAAAACAGGATAATAAACGAATTTGATTGGTAAAAGGGCGAGAGGAATTATCATACTCAATTAGTCGGAAGATATTTTCACCTTTAAAATAATTCCAAAGCTTATTAATTCAGAAATTGGACCACACCTAAAATCAATTTTAGTTTATTTTTACTTACCGAAATGCTTAAGTGATGGTAACTTGGGCTGGGAATGAATTTAGCCGAGTTGTTATACTTGTCAGATGGAAGCAATTCACAAAACAGTTCTCCGTTGACATCAGGAACTGCAGCCAGATTATAAGAAAAACATGAGGCGGATTTTAGGCAAGCAAATCCACACTGGCTGTCACTGTGGACGAGTTCCAAACTGATTCTCGTGATGTTTAGATAGGAGAACGGTTCAAGCTTGAAGTTTGCACAGTACACACCTTCAGGGCATCCTCGGTACTTTCCTGGGGAAAAGAAACTCTTAGGAGAGTTAGAATTTCTTCAGTTTCGAGGATGATTTAAGAACATGAAACTGCTAAAGTCAATCATTTTTTTACGCAATTTTTTGGAAGTTTTTGGCGTGAAGTAGAAAAGTTAGAATAGATTTTAAGAAACATGAATAAAAAATTTTGTAAATTTAAAGCATTTATTTTGGGTCGATAACATTAGAAAATATCCATCTGCATCCAGATAGTCATTCATGTCTGCATGCCTCCTAGAGTTAGAAGAACTCAATGGAATCAGAATCAGCTTCACTGTAGGAGCCATCATCTTTTATCAAGTTAAGGTTATGTTCTTTAAACGTAGCTTAGCTACGATCAGCTTAATGTTACCAGATAAACTACAACAAAGTATAAGAGGTCACTTCACCTTGTGCAATACTTGTTTTAACCAAGCTGAATATGATCATCACTCTAAGGCAGGTTTCCTGCTTGGGGAACCTACGCTTCATTTTCTGCATGGTGAGATTTCATCAGCAAGAATGGCTAAAGTTGAATGATACGAGCACTGTAAGGCTTTCGAGACACGGTTTTAATCTTTGAAAATTTTCTTTTTATCAAACCACCTGTAAAAACTATGAAGTAATGCAAATGTCCCTAAATCATAAATCCTATTGGTTACGATGCATTTTTTTAATTTGTTTAATGTTTTTTCATTAGGGTTTGTCACGACTCGAACACCCGCCGATTGGCACCTTAGATGCGAGCTGAAAGAGCGGCAATCGCTTTCTTTGTTATGAGGTACAGTGTTAACTATTCAAATATGACTTATGTCAAGGATTATCTGATTATCTTCTGTCGTTTAATTAAGGATATTTCACTAAATTGGATCTGAATGCTTTCGTTGTATTTCGGAGAACAATTTGAACGGGAATATCATGATTTCAGAGCGAAAGCTAATTTTGTGATTTTTTTTAAAAATATTTAGCCTTTTAGAGATCTGAAAAGAAGTTTGTTTTTTTCTCGTGATAATTAAGCTTTGGTACGTTGTTGACCTAAAAAAAATAAAAATAATAATCCCTTTACTACTCCCTGGGAGAGTAAAACCTCTAGGAGAGTAAAGAAAACGAAATTAGCAACAAAACAAAAAATCTAATTATCCCCCTGGGGCGGTAAAAGGGCTTACAGAAGAAGCTCTTTAAGAATTCATACTCTCAACCTAGGAGTCCCTACAAAAACAAATAATAACCTCAAATAAGACCTCAAAGAAATACTTAGCTCGAAAAACTAGTGCCTGAGATCTTAAAACTGTGGCATACTTTTCCTGATGACACAAAAAACCGATGTATGGTAATTGGCGCGACATTGGTACATTTTGAAACAACCCCGTAGCCCTAGTTGATTGTTTTATTGGGGAACGGGAAATAGAAATTTTAATCAGCTGACACAGAAAAACAGATCTAAGTATCAAGTGAGAGGTGATAAATCATTGACTTAGGTTGCTATTCTTTCAAGCTAGTCTCGTAATTAGACGGACAATTAAACGGTAGGATCTGGGTACGAGGTTACTTCCGAGCAAAACCGTTGATTCTTTTGAGCTGCTCTATCCATCATAGATACCTATATAGATATTTCTTTATTACTCAGTGGTACTGCAATGACAGTAGTACTCGATATGATCCATAAAGGATACTCGTTTGGCTCAAAAAAGCTTAATTATGAGAGGACAACCGTACGTATTCTTATTTAGCCACACAGGTTGCGTTGTTCTTGAAAGGATTGCTGGAACGAGAAAAATTTCAAACTTTGTCCTTATTTTAGGCTATGAATGCTGTAAGATGGCCTTGAAAATGGAGGAACTGACCGAAAGTGACCAACTGGCTTTAGAGAAATGAAACAGAAATACCAGTAACAGCAACATCATCATTTCTGTTAACGACTATGTTGTGGGCAAAACGAGACCGCTGTTCATGAACACGAAGTGGCATGCTTTCAGACCGTCAGAACCAGTGGCCACAACCAAATTACAACAACCACACAAGCCAGTAAGTCACGGTGTTTTAAAAGAGCATAACATTTTTGGTAAAGCTAAAACACAACGGTAATTTAACAGGATACCCGTTGTCTTTGAAAAGTTGCGAGATTTCCTTTTCCCCTACTTCTGTAAAGTTTCCCTGGCCTTTTACAAATGTCTAAGTACGTTTCAATTTTCTTTCGCTTATGTTATATGTTGTGAATCAGCGGTTGTCTCTTATGTTTTCTTTAGAAATTTCGCGCGCGAAAGTGCGCGGCCTGCCAGAAGTCCTGCCCTGCCAGAATGGGTCTCCTCGCGCATGCCTGACACTGACCACTGTGTTCTATACATGAATACTGCATCACGCTTTGGAAAACGGCACGCAGCAAAATGCAATTGAGCTAAAAAGTGAACAAGATCGGAGCATGCGTAACTAGTTAGTCATTCTAGTTTCTTGGTCATTCTTGAAATCCAAGTGAATACTGCTTGTTCAGACGGTAAAAAAATTGACACTAAAAACTGAAAAACTATATCGCAAATATTCAAGTATATATTAAAATACGATAATAATAGTCTTGGTAAGATTTTCATTCAAGTTAAATTAGAGATTATAAACTTGGTAGTATCCAAAAAATACTAAAGTTGCGGAAGAATAAAAAAAAATTGTTTATTCGTAAAGTCGAAGGGCAGAAGGCTAAAAAGTCAAGACCCACGCAGTAAATGATACTTTCGGGCATGTTTTTAGAAATTTTGCTGCGCACGGCGTAAATTAAAACACCTAAAGCATAGACCGAATTTTTTCGTATGATTTGATACCCGCGGCTCCAAGTTTCCCTGGGGTCTCGCCCTTGGAAAGACAATTTCCGTGGATCACACTGGAGGCTGGACAGTTTCCAGGGTCCTCTCGCTTTTCTCTGCCTCAGGGATGAGAAAGAGACCCCAGGGAATGAGGTTAGCGGTTTGATCAACAACCAGCCTCGTTCCTCGAGAATCCTTGGTCAGTTTCAAAGCGGCGGTGGTTTCTCTAGACTTACCTGCAGAGAAAGCTTGATTTTGACGAGCGAATGTTCGGGCTATTTTTGGTGAAAATTACAGCTCTCTTCTTTGATTTTTACTAATGCAGAAGGTTGTGGAGAGAAAGAAATTGGTACCAAGGGGGTAAGCGCTTGTTAAAAGGAAGGACTGAGGGATGATACCTTTCCCGTCTCCTTCCCTAACTAACTGTAGATCAAACATGGCTGGTCGAATAAACGATCGCGACAGGCTTCTACTCTAGGCTAGACGACGCCTTGGGAAAAAAAAAATGACCGAGAAACCCTGGGGACGAGGTTGGTTTTGCCAAATTATTTGGTTGCGTGACAGTCAACCTCGGTGCAGACTGTTTTTGGAATGAACTTCAAACGTGTGGGCGGTTTGATACATGGTAGGTAAATGTGTGGTTCTTTCTTTTTATGATTTACTTGATAAAAATCAAGTGGATTGTGGCTTCGACATTAAGGTTAGTTCTCAAAATCTGAAAACGTGGTCGATTTTCTTTAAGAAGCGTCTTTTCGTATCAATATGTTCTATCAGGCGCACATCACGGGTAGAAAATTACACGTGTTAATTTTTTTTCCTTTTAACGCACGATTTAAATGGTTTATTCATTTTTGAAAACAAGAAGGAGTTATCAATTTTATTTATTTAGTTGTTCATTTCCATTTAAATATTTGTCGTTGTCCAGAATCAATGGTTTTTCCCCCAGCACCTGTTTCTATTTTCTAGTTGAAATGTATTACACGTGAAGACGTGGACAAATTCAAAATTGTTTGCTTGATAAAAGCGTTCCCAGGGAAGCAAACTCTTTGTGAGATATAATTTTCCACAAATTTACGGAAAGTTTTTGTTGCTTACAGCTTTCAAAACATTGTATTGTTTATCGAACACGTTTACTCTTTCATTTGCAAATTAGTTTCTCTGAATAATCTGCTCCTTGATAACAAAACACAAAGAGTAACTGAAGATTTTTTCTCGCCATTGTCTTTTCAGCGCTGGTCGAAAGGAAGGAAGTCTGAATTTGCGATCCGCATTTTGAGGAATCAACATCAAATTTTGTTGCTGATTTGGACGGATTTGGCACAAGAACAATTATTTTCACAAATTTTCCTTTATTCGTCTAGTTGCACCTTTCGTGACAGGCAATTTACCCTCAATTCGATTGAAATCGCGGTTTTTGTGTGTTTACGGCGAGAGATCTGACATTTCATAAGAACTTGGCTATAGACCGCGATAAAACATATTTAGGAGTTGCACATGTGCGTAATCGTTCCTTCTTTTCTCCGTCCGTGATCAGCCGTCTGTTTATTTGTTACGGATCATCGATTTTTGCGTTACATATTGCCCGTCGCTGTCTGATATTTTTTCCTGTGAAGTTGCTGAGAAACTCCTGTTCGAATTGTAAATCCTTCTCTGCAGAAGGACTTGATTCTTTCTTCAAACGGCCTAGGAGAGGTTAAACCGAGCAAAGATCCGAAAGATAGTCAAACATCTGTGTCTTAATGTCAAAATATACTTCACCGGATGAACTGGAAAAATATCACGTTCGCGAAGTTTATAATCAAATAGCGCCTCATTTCGTTGGTTCACGGCATAAAGCTTGGCCAAAAGTTGAAGAATTCCTTCTTTCTCTGCCAGCAGGAAGCCTGATCGCTGATGTAGGTAAGATTTGCCAAATGATTTCCTAATTTTACGAATTTTGCCAGTCGAATTAAAGAAAAGAAGAAAACATCGAGGGTCGTCATGTTCCGGTGAGCTTTTATCTTAGTATTGTTGCTGTTTGATCCGTTTATTGTGATAGAAAAGAAAATCATTTGCTTGATTGTCTTTTAACTCCAGTAATGAGACGCTTTATGATTAAGCTTTTATTTTAATAACATCATTTGCGAATGATATGCACGATAAGTAGGATCGATGTAAACAGCAAAATACTGTCTGACGTTTTCGGATGACTTTTTTTTTTACAGCAAAGTATAACAATATCATTAAGGAAAAAATACACTCGAGGGCTCATAAAAAAACGTAAAACCGACCAAAATTTTAATCGAAACGGAAAAATCGAAAATAATTAAGCTAAAATGCATGTCCATAAATAAGTGAATTGAAACATAATTGCCCACTTTATTTTAGAAACTATAACAGTGTTATTGCACTCTGATTGAGTTACTTTGCGAGTCCTCTCTCATAGAAAATTGCACAAACAAAGGTTCCAAAATGAAAACAATTTTAATGAAGCTTATCTATTCCATTAGCTTTTCCAATGTTGTTGAAGGGTGTGATATGAACAGGGTGGGGCAGGAGTAAGTTAATCCTTTAACTCCCTTGAGTGACCAAGACAGAATTTCTCCTTACAATATCAATACAATATCAACTTGATAAGTGATGAGAATATAAAAAAGTTTCAATTTAAGGATAATTAGTTGATCCAATACTAAATTCTCTGAACTAACATTATAAGAATTGTATGGTTGATAGTAAGGAAAATTACAAATTTTATCTGGGAGTTAGAGGGTTAAGAGGTAATTCTGAAGGAAAGTTGGTCCAAGTAGAAATATCATACAGAGATAACAATAATTTTTAATATACTTTCTGAATAATTGTTTTCTCACAGGTTGTGGAACAGGCAGGTACTTAGACTTGGTGGGAGATCAGTCCTTCACTCTTGGATCAGACAGCTGTATGAAGTTTGGTGAAATTGCTGCTAAAAGAGACCACAATGTCCTGACTTGTGACAATCAGAATCTTCCCCTCAGGGAGAACTGCTTTGATGCTGTGATTTCCATTGGTGTCATTCATCATTTTGCATCAGCCAAGAGGCGCATGAAAGCACTGGAAGAGCTTTACAGAATTCTTAAACCTGGGGGGAAAATGTTGGTGTATGTTTGGGCATTTGAACAAGATGAAAGAAAGGTTTGAAAAACATTAAATGCATCACAAGGAAAATAAAATTGGACTGGAAAATATTGTACAATCATTTACTGCAAAAGCAAAGTATTTGCTCTTGATTGCTTTCCAATATAACATATGCCTGGCTAAATCTTGTTCAGTTGATTTCTTTCCATGTAATTTTTTTTTCAATACTAAAACAATTTAGGAAAATTTCAGAGTGTATTTCTCAACATACATTTGACAGTATCTTTCTGGGTTTGTCAGCAAGAATTAAGAATTAGTCAGTGTCACAACTCTCCTAGAAATATATTTTATAGGTTATTTCCAGACAGAAAAAAGCACTCCAGTTACTATACTTTGGATTGAAAAAATATGTTCTTCCTAAGTGTTTACTTAGATAATGTAAGTATGAAGGAACCTACCAAGCACTTAAATTTTTGCTTGTATTTGTTAGGCTAAACAGCTGCTGGTTATTTTTTTATTATTATTATACATTCACTGTGAGTTAAGTAAGAGATCTTAGACATTTCTCAAAGGATTTACCCGTATGATTTTAAGGTTAAATGCTTCTAAATGTGATGGTGAGATGGGCTTTGTTTTGCAATATCACCAGGCAAATTTACTGTCACTCTTATGTTGTGCAGCTTTTACTTAATTATCATGCTCTAATGTATCTTACCTCAGCTTAATGGTTTCCCAAGTTATAACTGATTACCATGAAATAACTCAGTGATGCAGGGTGCACTGTATGCTTATAAACATTTGCATTTATTACTTTTACAGTTTAATGGTCAAGATGTCTTAGTTCCATTTACACAATACCAGAGAAATACAGGTATTTTTATAAAAATCCAAATAATTTACTTCTTGCATTAATTGCTAATTGAAGTGTTTGGAATTATCTTTTTCCTATGTCCAAGGGGGTACAGTGTGACAATTTACCCACCCCTCCCCCAGAATTCACCTACTCCTCCCTCCAAAAGGAAAATAGGGACAAGAACATATTATGCAACCTTTTCTCGACAATCCATAAATTTTTCATCTTCATGAAATGCATTAAAGACATGCTCAACCTTTTTCCATACCAGAATATTTTTTTCTTTGCAGCTCGCAGAAGGAAATCCACTCCTTTAATGTCCAGAATCCATCCACTGATGAAAGTAAGATGTACATCAAACAAGTCTGCTTCATCGTGGAAATCAAGGCGAGCATTTTCCCTGGACGAGCCAACGAATGAAAAGATTCGATACAGCACGCAGTCGACAATGGCGGAAGACTTGTGTAAACAGGATGTTATCGAAGAAGTTGTGCAAAACGCGAGATCTTCGAAGTTTTCTCGCCTGGAGCATGTTAGGAACGGCGGCAAGATTTCAACCTTTGATCCAGCACAGGATATTGATTGTAGTTATTCATCCGAGGTTACTCCGGTCACAAAGCTTAAAAAGTTCCTTAATAATGTCTTAGAGAAGTTATTTGATGACAAAAATTCCGAGACAACGCCCGACCACCCTCAAGAAAAAGCACATGGTAATCTCGTTCCCATGGACACAAACTTGGACTTGAGCGCCAAATTGTCAGCTTTGATGTCGCATTTTTCTTTGCAGAACCGACCAAGATACTTAAATAGTGAATTTTTCTCCTTACTGGCAAAGAAGTTGTTCCCTAGTAAGGAAGAATTCGATATAGACGGCTTTGAGGAGAGCTCAGTCGCTTGTAGGGAAGATTGTGACGAGAAGTCCTGGGGTAGGAACGGAGACCATTCCAGAGGGTTGTCTCCTCCCAATGATGTCATCATCGGCTTGAGGGAGAAAAAAACTGATGGCCGTCTTGATGAAGATGGAGCAGATGATTGGAATGGAGTTAGCTTGGGGGTGGTTGCGAGGCTCGTGGAGACGTTAGCATCTTCAAGCGACGCGGAGAGTGACAGTTCTAGCTCCAGTGATTACATTACATCAGACTCAAGCGCTGCAGAGGATTGTGACCGTGTTAGATCACGTAATGTAACCCGTAGCAACAAGGTTTTTCATCATACCACGGTGAACTGCCAAGACAAACCGGAAAAAGAATCCGCTAAATCAAGATTAGCTCCAGAAGATTCCCTTTCGTCATCGTCATCATCTTCATTGTCAGCTTCCTCGTCATTGTCATCATCATCCCCATCATCATCGACCAAGCCGTCAAAGAAAGTGAAAAGCAAGTTACACCAGAGGTACTATCATGTATTCTGCGCTGGCGAATTGGTGAAGTTAGTTCAAGATGGAATTCCGTCTGCTGTACTACTCAAAGAATATCATGATCACGGAAACTGGGCAGCCGTTTGGGAAAAGGAAAGCATAGAACTCAAAAGTTGATTAAACGAACTGAAATTAGAAGAATAAATATCTGCAAACAACTACATCCTAGGAGGTCTCAATGGGGTGATGGCTTTTAAGGTTAACAGTTAAAATTTTGGCCCAGTTATAGCTAACGGTTAACTTCCTTTGTGATTGAAAGAAAATTTTTACGGTTCACCTTTTTTACAACTAACGGTTAAAATTTTTCAATTTTTGCCCCATACGGCTAAATTTTTCGGCCGATTTACGGCTAAAGGTTAACACCATTGAGACCCTCATCTTAAGAGAAAACTGTGTGAAGGTAAATAATCAATCAAGAGGTGTGACGACGTGTTAAGTCTGCCTTGGTATTTGTGTCGGACAAAAAGGCAATTATCCTAGATTTTATCTGAGTGCAGTTTCAAGATTTTCAGACCTGCCAGATGATCGGACAGAGTTCATTTTCTGACTCTCACTGAACTTTTAATCTCCAAATAACTTTCCGTTTGAGGTTAATATGAAAACAAAAAAGCAAACAAAAATACGGTGAATGCAAAAAGCAAGCTTTGTGAGTCATTCTATGCTCTCTACGATCAATCGCCTTAACTTGCCGACCGACCCGCCGTTTTTTCCTTCTTTTTTTTGTTGTGTATTCAGGCGAGCGGAGAAAATTGCGAGGCGAAAACAGAGGGCGAATCTCGCACGTCAATAACTCCTTTGCATTATTATCACGCTTCCCCCCGCTCATCCGACGAGAACGTAACACTGATTTAAGTTAAGCCTGTTCTGAGGCCTATTTTTGTAGTAAATTTCTTTCTTTCTTTCTTTCTTCTTTGTTTTTCTTTTCGAATTCAAGACGGAAGCAAGTGCTGAGGCTGCTGAACAAACTTCGATTTTCCGCAAGCGAATTTAATATTTCAGGCATCGATGTACTGAAATGATTAAATTTTTGTAGTGTTTTTTTTTTTTTTACAGAATAATTGCGGCGAGAAATATGGTGTTAAGTCTTGTTAGAATTTACAGCAAGGGAATGTGGTTGTAAGGAAAAAATCAGACAAAATCTAAACATTAATATTTTATATCATGAAGGAGCAGCTTTGTGATTTCAGCTTTTTTTATCAGACGAGAGAAATTTGTATTTGATATAATTTGACAATCTTTTTAGTCTCATTATATTTCATAAATAGACAGCTTCCTTAATTGTTTTTAACATAGGATATTTAAATAAATTATTTATATGCTGGATATGTCAGTCTGGACTTACGAGAGCGCTTAAAGTGTTAAATTTTCATCGTATGACTTAGAGCTTAGTAACTAATCCAATTATTATTAAGGTGAATAAATAAAACAGCATGGTTCAGTATTCTTTTTTTTTTACTATATTTTTCAGAGTGGTGAGTTCATATATCTTGAGGTGGTGGTGAAAAAGTCCTTAAAATCCTTTTATGTTATCAGATATTATCGTCAACCGTACCTCATTTGTGTTGGGAGAGGACATTCAGATTTTATTTTCGTATTTCAGTTTTCTACTGCACTGTAAAAACGAAATGAACATTCCATTTCTCGAAATACTTTTTTAAGAAACACGACATCCGACTTTCCTTTTCGTTTCTTAGTTTTATCCGCTTAGTGGACAATTGAAATAGAAGTCAGTCAGTTGTTCGATTATTTGCGCAAATTGAACGTGAAGAATTCCCACGCATCAGCGAGATGTCACGCAGCGATTTCATACCGCGCGCGTTCGCTCCTTTCTGACTCGCTAGCTCGTTCAGCTTACCTACTGCATAACTTAAGATATGACATATTAGAAAATGTTCACATAACAGTTTATTCCTGTTACTAAAAAAAACCAACTCATGAGATTAAGACTATTATATTTATTATGTTTTAAGATCTACAGCCGGCTGGGGAATTTGTGCCTTCTGTCTGGCTCGCATTCTCAGAGAATTTAACTATGCAATGATTATAAGTTTGAGAATTTATCTGTAGCATTACTGCAAAGTTTCTTAGGTGAGTTCAAAACGTTTCATGACGATGGCCATTGGCTTATACCGCGCGTACACCTCGAGGCCGCGTAATCACATGATCTGAGGGAAACTGGGGAGATGGGAGAGCAACAATAGCCGGAAAACCGCACTACAGTCATATGGCCGCCATTTCATTGTGGTATACGCGGCATCCTTGAGGCTAATTTGAAACTTCTCCACCGTTTCCTGTTCCTGAATTTCGTGTCTACCAGCTGCTGTGATCGAATTAAGGCTGCTAAGTCGATGACGGTCTTGTGATCGTCGAAACTTCGGAGCTTCGGAACTTCAGACTTAAAATTTGCCTTGCTAGCATATTGCAAATTATGGGAGACATAATAGTTGACACTTTCCACTACGAAGCACACAGTCTGTCGAACGAGGCTTTTGAAGTGTTAGTTCAGTTTTTTAGGGAGAAGAAGCTATGTGATGTAATCATTCAAGCTGGAGAGCGAAAAGTCAAGTGCCATCGTGTAGTTTTGTCTTCGTGCAGTCCATATTTCCGCGGAATGTTTACGAATGACATGATAGAATCCTCCAAAGACACTGTTGTTATTCAGGGATTATCCGAAGAAGCGGTCATTCAATTGATTAACTTCATTTACACACGAAAAATTACGATCAGTATTGACAATATTGAAGCTTTACTGACTGCAGCTGCCGTGTTTCAACTGGATCTCGTTGTTCATGCTTGTTGTGAGTTTATGAAGCGGCATCTTCACCCGTCAAATTGTTTGGAAATGAGAGCGTATGCAGAGCTTCATGGATGTAGAGACTTTATTGAAGCGGCAGATGCTTACTCAAGAAGTTGTTTCTTGAGTCTTATGAACACAGAGGCCCTTCTTAAAACCTCTTTTAGACATTTTCTCGCCATTATCTCTGGGGAAGACCTTTACGTAAAACGCGAAGAGCAGGTTTTTGAGGCTATTAGTGCCTGGGTACGCTTTGACTTGGTTTCACGAGAACAGTTTCTGTCAGACTTGTTAAGTCATGTGCGGCTTCCTTTGATTGCCACCGATTACCTTATACAGCGTGTGGAAAGAGACATGATCATCAGAAACAATGTCGCTTGTCGAGATTTAATAGACGAGGCAAAGAATGTGAAACTTTATCCTTCTTTGGTGAAAGTAAATATCAGAGCTCAACCACGCAAGTCCACTTCCGGAGCCTTATTTTCAATTGGTGGTCGTGGAAAGTCAGGCGATCCTCTTCAGTGTATTGAGTGCTATGATTGGTTCCACAACTGTTGGTTCCAGGTAGCAGAAGTTTCTACACCTCGAAGGCACGTGGCAGTAGCTTCTGTAGCAGGCAAGGTCTATGCAATTGGAGGACATGATGGCAGTCAACACCTTAATACTGTGGAGTGTTTTAACCCTGAAATTAACCAATGGAAGATAGTTGCGTCCATGGAAATTTCACGACGAGGAATGTCTGCTGGTGTCCTGGAAGGAGTGATTTATGTCGCTGGAGGTCTGGACGAAACAACCTGCTTTGATGCTGTAGAAAGGTAAATAGAAATTATCCACAAAATGTTTTTAAGATGTGCATATCTGGGCTCTAAAAAATCATTTTAAATACAGTGAGAACCAGATTACTTCTCCAGAATTTAAATGCAGTTCTCATATTGCATTGTGGATACCAAATTATTGAGAACATAGACTGCTCAACCTATAGTTGCAGCAAAAAGTCTGTTGTACCCCAAAATTCTGTCTCTATAACTATTGGCCCTTTAAATGCAAGCGGAGATCTATAGTGAGGCACATGTCAACTGCATTTTGCAAAACCAAGGTAGTCTTCATGAATGATCTGAACAGAAGAAAATTTCTCAATGAAAATAAGCAAGTGAGGGTTAGTTTTGGTTGACTTGGCTGACTGACTGAGTGGGTAGCTGAGTTGTTTTAGACCTATTGTTGTGTGTAATACAATCAACAACATTGCATGTCTTCTGATCTTCCTAAAGATATGATCCTGAAAATGATACTTGGAGCATGGTGGCACCTATGCTGATGCCTCGAGGGGGAGTGGGTGTAGCGGGGCTAGGTGGTTACCTCTATGCTGTTGGTGGTAATGATGGTGCTGCATCTCTTCAGAGTGTGGAAAGGTACAACCCTCACACCAACAAATGGAGCCGAGTTGCATCCATGAACCGCAGAAGAGCAGGTGGGACTCACTCTTAACTACTTTCACTCATATAAGCATTGAGCTTCTACCATTTCAGAATGTGGTTGAAAAAAGTATAGATGACATTTTTATATCTGTCTATGCTTAAGGACTTACTCTGCTTAGTTTCATTTTCTCAAAGTCCTTTAATCACCAACCCTTCTCACACCTTCTCAAATAAGAGCTCATCATCTGGTAAACCATTCCTTCAGAAATTCAAAGTCAACCTAATCGTGTATGCTAGGGAGTACATTGTATGGACCATTGTGGGTTTATGATGAGGCACATACTCATTCACATCTTAACTGACTGACCTTCTCTGGATCATTACGCATATAACTTCCTTGTGGCTGGTCAAGTTTGGTAAATTAAGATTAGGGTTAGGGTAAATGGATTTTTAAGAGATTGGGGTTTTTTGAACAGTGTCAAGAATATTTATAGCTATCATTGGAAATATATTAATTTCTGTCAGTTATAACAACCATAAATGACAAAAATTTTTACTTTGTTTTTGTAGCTATGACAAGCAAATCTAACTGCCTTTATGAATTTTGGAAAAAATTTTAGATGGTGGAATTGTTGGTTTATTTTGTTTTGTTTGTTTGTTGAAAATGGCACTGAAGCTCAAAATTGTCACTCCACAGGTGTTGGTGTTGCTGTTGTGGGTGAGTTCTTGTATGCAATTGGTGGATTTGATGACTCTTCTCCTTTGGATTCAGTTGAGAAGTATGACCCACGTACCAACCAGTGGACCTATGTGGCCAGCATGACAACATGCAGGGGAGGGGTGGGCGCTGGTGCTATGGGAGGACGCTTGTGGGCAGTGGGAGGCCATAATGGTGAACAATATTTGAACTCAGTTGAGTCATACAACCCTTTGGCTGATCTCTGGGAGGAAGGTGCACCAATGCATGTGTTTCGTGCAGGTTCTGGGGTTGTTGGAAGCTTTTGCGATGTTGAAGTGTTACGTAATTCACAGGATGCAATTAATCGTAGGTTAAAAGTAGATGTTTAAACACTAAGGTATTTGTTGTCAAGTTGTTGGTTTTGAGAAGGGGATACATTTGTACCTTGCATGAAAAGGCCAATATTTTGGCTAAAATTAGTGAAATTTTATTTAAGCATTCCATTAGATGCAATTCACTCTATCTGAAGTGATTCTTAATAACAATTTTTTTGTTAGTTTTTTGTTTATTTTGTATGTGGGATTGTGCCAACTGGCAAATTTCCTGGTTGATGTCAAAACCATATAAAATATTTTTATTTATTTTGATACTACCTTTGAAACAAACTTTGTAGAGGAAATTCCACATTATGTTATATTACACTTGTTAACGCCTTTATTTTCACATCTAACTCATTGTGATTTTTTTGTTTGGTATTTTATTGAAAACGGAATGTTTCTGAAAATGTTTTGGAACATTCTTTTTACCAAAAAAGGGCATGGGGCAAAATATTATAGTAAATAATGATAGAATTCGGAAAAAGAGTTGAAACAAAGAGAAATGAAACAAAGAACAATGCTAAATTTTTTTTTATCCCTCTTTACACTTAGATAGGAGGTGATGTATAATGTTGCTGTGGTGTTGATAAGATTGTGATAAGTTAGAAACAGTAGGAAACTGCATTGATTTTTTGTTGGCAGAAAGCTGAATAATCAATTAAAGGTTGTTGACTACATTTTGTAAAAACAAACATGTCAGTATCAGCTTATCAGTGAATTGATTATATAGCCAATATGTAAATTGTTGACTCTAATGCTACAATGCAGGTCTGGTAAGGCTGTGCTTTAACATCATGTATGTTCATGTTGTTTACACTCTTTATTTGCCCTGTGTTTAGTCACCATTCTTGATTTATTTTTTACATCAGAAATGTGTTTTTGTTGTTGTTGTTTTTTTTTGTTTGTTTTTTTTTTTTTCAGACCAGGGAAGCCAGATCTTAGCATAGGTTTTTCAGACCGCAGTTACTTAATATGTGGCATTCCTAACTTTACATTGATTTGTTTGGGATAGTCTTTCACAGAATTAGATATTTTATTTTAAATTGAAATTTTAAGATTGCTTGGCCTAGTCACAATCATCAAAAACATATTTTAACAATGTTTGGCAGAATAAACTAGACAACAGTGTTTTTTTTTTGTGTGTGATTTTCCCCATTGATAGCTAGTATTTATTAGGAAGTGAAAGTCAA